AGTTGTTAAATCGTAAATTGATTTCTAAGTTACAAGTTCAGAAACACAAGACGTGCATTTTCAGGTGTTTAGAAATGAGATTTTCTTCCTATTGTATTATTTTCGAATATATTTTTGTACGGTGTTAGTAGTGCTACAGTTAAAATATCATGACGACTATCATACCCAACAGTTTAGTGCTTCAGTGATTTTTATCTCGAAATGTATGAAAAGAGTGAAAAATAAAAATGTAATTAAAACTATTTCGAATTTCTTTGAGTTCTAAGATTGTTTTGTGCCATCATTGCACGGTAAAGTACATCCATGTTTTGGGTAAACGGTTTCTAATGAGAAAAGAAAGTTTGTCATTTTGGGATTTCATGGATTGTGAAACGATGTTAAGCAACCAAATACATCCATGTTTTGGGTAGATGGTTTCTAATGAGAAAAGAAAGTGTTTGTCAATTTTGGATTTTGTGTATAGTTGAATGATGTTAAGCAGCCAAATACATCTATGTTTTGAATCAAAGATGCTTCATAAACAAATCCATCAATGCTTTATTTAATAGTAACATACTATAATTGGATGGTAAATACGTTCATTTTATGAATTGGGTAATTTTGATGACTAAACTCAGTTTGATTCGCTCTTATCACGAGTCGACTACAGATCGAATGTCTACTTTTAATATTGTTGACATCATCTTACTCGAAGCTTCTAAGTTTTTCTCATTATGTGAATATTGTTGTCACTAGAGGGCTAGATACATCGTGAGTTTCACAGCTTGTATTGTAAGAACAGAAATAGAGAAGAAGAATTCGTCTTGTCAATTGGATTTTAAAGTAACTGAACCAGCCTGTGTGGACTTTTGACGTAAAAGAAAATTATTTGAAGCTTTGGTTACGACTGTGGTAACCAGTAGTGTAATGATTATTTACGTTTGACTTGTTTTCAATATATCATTATAAACCAAATGGATTTTGTGCTGTCCGTTTATTGCTGAAATTTATCGCCAACAAATCACAGAGACATACTGCAAAGAATCCGGCCCTTATACAAAAACCTGATAATTACTATAACAGATCATTTCTATTTCTGTATTGTTAACATATAAAGATCACTTAATGGATTAAGAAATAATAGATGTCATCATTTGCAAAGCTATGTTATACTTATTTATCTAAACATTACTTACACCTAACTACACGTGGATCTATATAAACACCTATCTATGTAAAATTGTACTCACTTTTTACAATGTCCAAGTTATCTAAAGAAAACCTCATTAACATCTTGCATTTATTCATCTCCAGGGAACCAAAAGGTGAAGGCGATGTTCTGACAAATCATTAGAAATATTGGTTTTAGAATTAACATAAAAGTAAATCATGACAGATGCCTACAAGTAAATATAGTTAGCAGAGCTTTCACAACAGAATTGAATTCACTAAATATTTGTAACAAAACAAAATATTTCATTAACAAATACATGACGTGCATGGGCGTAATAAATATTTGCATTTTTACTTTGATCACTCAACAATTTTGTAATTTGAATTTGTTGCATCACATAATAAAGTTCGATGACTATTTTAGATTTTTTATTACTTTTTTTTTACTTTTAATCACCTGTGTTCAAAAGTCGGTTGTAACAGCTTGAGTGTTCTATCAGATCTATTTGGGTGTATCACCGTATACTTCGTGAGATCGTATTGGGATAACGACCGAAAATGTAATTAACAGCGAAAGTGGATTTTGGGTTTTGCTCTAAGTATCATACAGTCGGTAGATTCTATATGTAGGGATTGCCAAGGTACTCAATAGGCATAATACAAATATGCATGTTAAACAATCAGAGAGTTTAACTTTAGCGGGTGATTGCCGCTCACTTTCATTTGTTTCTCTACCCAACAAGCCCAAAACAAGGCAAGAAACCATCGATAAGATACAAAACTAGAAAGTGACCAACCCATCAAATTGTTCATCTTTCTTCTTCTTGTTTCAGTCGAGATAACTCTACAACTACTTTGTCACCATCGTCAGTTTAAATTTAAATCCACCCTATGTGTTTTTGAGCAGTGCACGATGTTATCGCTTTGTCGTAATAACTAGTAATATTAAAAAAATCGTAATTATAATACAACCAATATTATCATTACCCCTTGAAGTTATCTTTTTAGAAAAATCTGGTGTTCCTTTAAAAAGCTTACGTGCAGAGTTAAACAGGAATTACCAGCCAATAATAAACGAACATTAGATGGTTGTAACATGTATAATACTCATTTAAAAACAACGTTTCGCCACTATTAACGTGGCATCATCAGGTATTCAGCACAATTGTATACGACACTTAAGTACACTCAGTTGGTGACATCAACCATATAACCTTGAGCTAGCGTAAGTATAAACCTACTCCTTGTGTTTTATTTATTAAAGGTTTGTATTCCTTTATTAAAATGGCTTATTTTATTTTTACGTTTATTTATATTTAAATGATATATTTTTTCTATCCCATTTTAGCTGTTTTTGAATTTTAAATGTTGTAAAGTGTGGGATACCTCCAACATTTATAGGTATAGTACTCAATGCTTTTTACACTATACAATCGGTGTCTTTAGGGAGCCAACCCCTATATTATGTATGAAGTGAAGGAGTAGAAAAAATCAATACACATATGTTAAATTTTAGTACACACATTCATAGAATACACTAACTTTCAGTGAGAGGAAAAAACGTTACAAAATATTTTGTAGATGTAAAATGATGTAGGGATGGCAGTGCCAAAAAGAATCTAAACAACAATATAGGTACGATACAGCTAGGTATAGATCATCCCTACATGACTTTCAATATTAAAATGTAATGTGATACTGTAAAATGCATACTTGACTTTAATATTACTGTAGTTGGAAGTTATATGTTCCTAATTGTTGATATGCAGTTTGTTTATCATAATATCATAGTCATGTCAGGGTAGGCATCAATGTAGTGCAGCTAACAGTCTAGGACTTAAGTACAAGGAAAACCAAACTGAGTCAAAACTAGTCTTGATTATTTACAGACTCTAGCTACGAAGTCGGTCGAATTGACCCTGAGCAAGCAAACAAAGTTAATATGCTAAGTAAAGAGCAAGAGAGGTTTGTGTGTGACATTTCTCCTGAGCAAACAAAGTCAATATGATGAGTAAAGAACAAGAGATATTTGTATGTGACATTTCCCCTGGGCAAACAAGTAGTCAATATGCTCAGCAAGAACGAGAGATGTTTGTGTATGTGACATTTGCCCTGAGCAAACGAAGTCAGTTTTCAGCAGCGTTTTAAGAGAAACATGTTTTATGTGACCTGATTCTGTCAAAACTAGTAGCTTGACAGTAAATGCTTTAATAAGTTCATATACCAAAATAACAACGAAGGAACGAAGGTGATACCTAAGCCTGCAAATATATTTGCTACATTAAATCAATCTCTATTGCACTGGCGTTTATATTGAAAAAGAAATAATCACCTAAATCTCGTAAACATTATTTTCAGATATATTCCTCTAAAACTTGGTGAATCATGTAATTTTAATGTATGTGATCAAGTTCTTGAACCACTGCAACTCTAAGTATGTTGCAAAAATGTTAATAGGGATTCTATTGAAAAGACAATTTTTTTATCAAATAAATCCGTATCACGTGGACTACATACGTAACAAGGTAAAATGTGTTACGTATTTACTTCTCATTAAGTTATTTTAGACTGTAAAATATAAATAGAAATACCATTTGTAATTTAAAAATATGTATTAATGATACTAAAAAAAGTGAAACAGTTAAAATGTATATAAATATTTAATTCTTTTATTAAAAAGAATATGCATTTTAACACTGAGTATTGATACTTAATTAAAACGAATAATTCAAAAGTCGTTTGTGCTTTTTAAATTAAATCAAAAATAAAACACCAGAGGGCGTGTATACTCACGAGAATGACGACGTTTTACGTATCGTTCCACTCTTTCTCTTTATGCTTGTAATTATCAGAAGATCAGAAAACAGGAATATACACCGTTCTTTCTTTGTACTAAGTGCACCCTAGTCAAGAAAACGAAAATTTCAAACTCACTTCTTTTCGCTTAAATTAAGCAGTAATTTTAACACCGCCATAACATGGAGTATACCTTATCTTTCTAGTCTTTTTATATTGGTTTCCAGTGGTTACCAAGTTTTTGTGTTGAACATCTGCCTGTGTCAGTTTACACGAAACTTATGATAAACTCTGACATTTTCAAGTAAAGAGAAAAAAAAAAGACATGAAAATTGCCTCTCAATATTTTAAGTGTTAATATTGATGCCCTTCTATGCAATACGTTTTCTTAAACTAGTTTCGTTTATCCATTATGATCAGAATTGCTCCAGTTTCTCTTTCTAATTCGTTAATCACATAATGAAAATAGTTAATTTCCTAGTAAAAATTTAATTTGATGTGTCAAAACTTTTTAAAGATAAATATTTACTTCAAACAGCAAATTTATCCGAAGTTCATTAATCAAATAATAAAGATGGAAAAATATTTGGAAACATATTTTCCTAGCAAGATTCACGGAGTAAGCTCCATTATCAGAGCAAATTTTCATGTTCAGCTCACTTGCTCTATATTTAATATATAAATTTCAGATATACTGCAACATGTAAGTTTCAGATATTATATGGTCAGTAAATTAGCATTTTTCACCTCATATTATCGAAGTGCTTAAATGTCAGTTTGAGTTCAAGTCCTTGGTGAGAATTTTTTTTAAATGTGGTACTTTTTGGAAATCCTGACATTTCCATAATTCATAAAAAATGTGATGAACCATTCAGCTTTTGTTCGAAAACCTAGTACAACAATTAAACTGTATACACAACGTACGACTCGTACAGAGTTACATAACGAAACTTATCACAACTATCACTTTCAAAATAATTAACGTTTAACACTTGTGATGAAACTAAATTATCATTAAATACTAAATCACTAAGTAGTTTCTTGAGATAATTAGTTTTGTTTGTTTGTTTTGAATTTCGCGCAAAGCTACACGAGGGCTATCTGC